TCCACTCCCTAGTCTCTTTCCCAACATAGAGTCTTCACTCCCTAGTTGATTTTATTTTATACATAGGGTCTCCACTCCCTTATCTCTTTTCCAACATAGGGTCTCCACTCCTTAGTTGATTTTATTTTAGACATAGGGTCTCCACTCCCTAGTCTCTTTTTCAACATAGGGTATTCACTCCCTAGTTGATTTTATTTTAGACATAGGGTCTCCATTACCTAGTCACCCTTTCTAACATAGGGGCTCCACTCCCTAGTTGATTTTATTTTAGACATAGGGTCTCCACTCCCTAGTCTCTTTTCCAACATAGGGTCTCCACTCCCTAGTATCCTTTCCAACATAGGGTCTTCACTCCCTAGTTGATTTTATTTTTAGACATAGAGTCTCCACTCCCTAGTCTATTTTTTCAACATAGAGTCTCCACTCCCTAGTTGATTTGATTTTAAATGCAGGGTACACCACTCCCCGATATCTTTTCCAATATAGGGTATCCCATTCCCTGATCATATTTTTCCAACATAAGGTACACCAATCCTTAGTTGAGACATCCTTTTGACAATAAAAGAACACCATCCAAAAAAAAGACTTTTTCAGGGTACACCACTTCCGACCTTTTATTGCTTTCAATAAAGAAGTAGTTTAGAATTTTGTTATAATAACTCACGAAATTTTTCTAGTGCAAACTGGGGCATAGATATTTCGTTTGTTTGTTTGTTTTGGTGTCTGAGTAGGTTTTACCTCGAGGCACAGGGTTCGAGATGACCAAAAGAAGAAGTCTAAATTCAGAATAAAAGAAAAAAAAAGTGAATCCAAAATGCAAAAGCAATTGAAAAGATGTGGAATGCTCAAGACATGACTGAAGCCACGAGCATTGGAGTCCCGTTTTGATTAAAAGAAGCTATAGAAAAATGAACTAGAACCTACAGCTAGCGAGCATCAAGGTTTAGATCAGAGTCTGCATGAAGAACCAGTCAAGACTCAAGATCAAGTTTCTGAAGACTCATAGATAGGAATCTTGTAACTCATAACTGATAGGCTTGTTTAGTTTCTTTTTTATTTTGATATAACAGCAGGACCGTGGACTGGAGCCTCGACGGAACCTCACTCGATTCCTCAACTCATCATTACACTATTCTCCTAGAACTACACGTGACTTGATTCTCCTATAACCCGGGATATGTAGCCTGTCCAAAATCAGGACTCGGTTGCACCCTATCTTTTATTTCTTTTCCTTTTGAATAATGGTTTGGTAAAAAATTAGTCACATGGCTCACCTAGTCGTTGCCTAAAAACTCTTCATGTTTCCAAGCAAAGAGGGGCAGCTGTGAGCACCTAATTTTTGACTATATTTGAATTTTTATCACCTTCTACTATGTAAATATTTTCAAAAATTTAATATATATTTTTAAAGCTTTGTTACATTTTTTTATATAGGGTAAAAATTAATAATAATTTAAAAGGTCAATTATTAATATTAGTATTATTTTTCTTTATTTTTAAATAAAATAAATTTAAAAAAAATAGAAAATAAATAAAAACTAATTATTATTATTTTATTTTTTAAAAAATATGGATGGGAATTAAAAAAATAGTAAAAGTAGAAATATAAAATTAAAAAGTAAAAGTAAAAGTAGGTGAAAATTATTTAATTAAAAAGTAAAAGAGAGTGAAAAATTTTAAAAATAAAAGTAAAAGAATGTGAAAATTTAAAAAAATAAAAAGTAAAAAAAATTTGGAATTAAACAATAAAAGTAAGGGTAGCTGAATTTTTAAAAAAAAAAAGTAAAATAAGTGGAAAAGAAAAAAAAGAAAAGTGAAATAAGTGGAAAATAAACAAAAAGTATAAAAGTGGGAATTTAAATATAGTAAAATTAAAAAAAGTAAGAAATTAAAAAATAAAAGTAAAGGAAAGTGGGAAATTATTTTTTTTAAAAAATAAGAAAAATGGGAAGTGGAAATTCTTTTTAATTAAAAATAAAAAAATAAATAAACAATAAATAAAACAAATCTGAAAATTCCGAATTTTTTTTCTATAAATAGAAGAGAAATGTAAGGGAAAAAAGGGGGAGAGAGGGAAAAAAAGGAAGGAAAGAATTGAGAAAAATTTATTTTCTTCTTTTAGGATAAGGGAATTTCTACTTGTGTCATTCTTTTTTCGTCTTTCTTTCAAAAAAACCAGCAGCTTCACCACCCAAAAACAACCTTTAAACCTCCATAGAAAAGCCCTTTTAATATCATAAACTACCATCCAAACCCAGACGAAACAATGAGGTTTTTAGTTGAGGTTGTCGACGAGTTTCGATGCTCCGTTTAAGGTCTTGCGTGCGGTCTGAATGAGTTTAAAATTCAAAGTTGTAAAACCGTAAAGTTTCAGATTCAACTTTTGAGGTCCACTTATTATCTTGTTTTGATTAATGATATGAGTTGCTTCTTTTTTCTTTTGGCGTTCTTTGGTGTTCATTTATATCTTGAATGAATGAAATTATTCTGTGTTAAACATGCCAATTTTTGAGCTTTCTCTTTGTATATTTATTTTAGTTCATTAGCATGTTCTCTTAAAAATGGGTTCATCCATGAATGGTTTAATGAAATTTGCTAATTGATAAGTGAGTTGTGATTGTTTATAAAAAAATAATAATTTCTTATTGAAATAGAAGCTCAAGCAATGTTATGTCTCTATTTAGTTATTTAGTAGTCATTCATGTGTTAATAAATGAGCTTTAGTAGTTCCATCTTTGTTTTAAATTAAGCTATCAATTGTCTAAAGTATAGAGTTAAGTTGTTAAACAAGTTTAACTAGAATTATGTCACTGGTGAAGATCCAATATTTGGGCCTAGACACATGAGTTGTTGAAGGAAGTGGAGTTGTGAGGTTACTATAAGCTAATGAAGAAAGTTATTTTATTTTTGGGCCACGACTTGAAATCTGCTAGGCCCATTAATCTCATACAATGACCCCCTTTTGTAGTTCTTGAATAATTAATTTAATCTATTTCATGCTTTTCTACAATGACATACGCTTATGGCTTTACAAATCTCAAATTAGTTTAAGACAAATAATTCATAAACTTTGTAGCTTGCTTTAGGCGCGATTAATAAATTATCGTGGCCATGGGTACGGTTCCCGTGGCATGGTCACGATACGTAAATCCCAATTCGAGTGCGCGTTTCACGCGACTTGACCATAACTTCAAATAATAATAATAAACATGTTATAAATCGCGGGTGCGTTTCACGTGGCGCGGTTTGCAATGTGTACCAAACGACAAGTGTACGACATCGTAACTTATTCAATAAATAACTCCATAAATACTAAAAATTGATTTAAATACATAATTAAAAACGGTCAAAGGTAAAATGCACAATAGGTTTAAAACAGGTAATAAATCAGATAATTAAAAAGTAAAAAAAATAATAAAACAAAATCAGATAATTAGGCCAAGTATTAATTGTTAAGCGACCGTGCTAAAACCACGGAACTCGGGAGTGCCTCACACTTTCTCCCGGGTTAACATAATTCTTTATCCGGTCTTCTGTGTTCGCGCACCATAAATAGAGTCAATTTCTTTGATTTGGGATTTTAAAATAAATCGGTGACTTGGGACACCATAAATTATTTCAAGTGGAGACTTTGAATAAATAAATAATTCCATTTCGAATAATGTCACTTCAATTGAAAAACCTCTCTATCCCCTATCCCCTCGAAAAAAAGGAGGTGTGACAAATGACATGGCGTCCTTAACTTTATGTATGCAGTGTAAATGTGAAGGACACCATGTCCTTAATATTTACACAACACTCATGAAGAAAGGGTAAAAATACCTTTTCGTATTAATTTTAATAGAGTAGTGACTATTTTTGCTCAACATTAAAAATACTGGATAAAAACTAAATACTATGTTAAAAAGTGGCTATTCTGCGCCATTTCTACAATATAGACTGGGCCAGGCTCCCTCGTTGGATTACGGGCCATGTGACAACAGCTTAGCCCAAGAAGCCTGTTGCTTCCAAGGTAGACCCAAGATATATTTTTCAATAATTTTTCCGCCACTTTCAAAAAGTTCGTATAAAGCCCTAAAAAGAGAACATTTCAGTTCAAATTTTCACGCAGAAATCATAGATTAACGCATCAATTTTGTCTTTGGAAAAGGTTAATTTCTCTTCCAAAACATTAATTTTTATTAGTTTTCAGTCAAGAATGTCTCAATTTTCATTTCACTGTGGAATTTACGAATTCCCTTTTTGTGGACTCACTTTTTTTGTGGTCTTGAAATTGCAGAGAGCGAGCCAATGAAAGTCAAGATTTTGCGTATCCTTTTGTGATTATTTCACTGATTTGTAATGTTTAAATGAAGACTACGGAATATATATGTTGATTCCATAGGAGCAGATAATAATTGCAGTGAATTATAGCAACTGTTACTGAATCATGCAAACACATTTTCTGGCAAAATATGTAATTAATGATTGGATTTGACTTATCTTGTGATCTTGGGATTTTAATATTATTAATTTCTGAATCTTTTGGAGAATGTGCAGCCATTGAACTGCTTAGGGATTACAAAGAAGCATTTTTACTAGTCCTTTGTTTTTTTGCTCTGAAAATCTACTTCAGTTTATATTCCGTCTAATATTTCACATTTTTTATGAGGTGTATAGGTGCATATTTCGATTTTCTTAATTAAATTGAGGGTAGCTTTATATTGCAAGTAGATTAGATGCTTTGGCAGAAGGATATGCTGGCATATTTCATTGTGATGGACTATAACATGAAATTTCCCTTAACCTGTTCTGCTGGGCGTTTTGCTGGGATCGTGAAATCGTGAATAGAGTATGTCCTCTTCATGGCATGTGACATTAATTGTTTTTGTTCTTAAGACTGCATGGTTTGCTTACTTTGTTACTTGTGTATTGCAGATGGCATGCAGTTGCTTCGTGGACATGGGACGCTCAGGACGAAACTTGTGGAATATGTAGGATGGCTTTTGATGGCTGTTGTCCTGATTGCAAACTCCCTGGTGACGATTGTCCACTAAGTAAGCCTATTTATCTCTACTTGATAGTTTCCTCAGTCATTTAAGCTACTGAATTACATTTCTCATGTAAACCTGGTATATCTGCATATCCGATGGGTTACCCCGCAATTCTAATTTATTTAGATAAAAGGTTTTTTTTGTAGATTGCATATTGGTAGTGTCTTATACTCTTATTTGTCTGTACATTGTCAATATGTATTTGTTCTTGCAACCTTGAGATATTGATGCAATTGGTGAAATAATTCAAGCATCATAATATTTTGGTTCTTAGACTTTGGGTCTATAATCCAAGGCAACGAGGAGATTGACGAGGATGTTACCCACCCCATTGGAGCGGGTTGGATGAGATGGAGGCTAGCTTCGGGGTTTTTATGCGATAAGAATGTGCCGCCTTGACTTAAGAGCAAATTCTACAGAGTGGTGGTTAGACCGGCTATGTTGTATGGAGCTGAGTGTTGGCCCGTCAAGAAGTCTCTTGTCCAGAAGATGAGCGTAGCTGAAATGAGGATGTTGAGATGGATGTGTGGACATACCAGGAAAGACAAAATTAGGAATGAAGTTATTAGGGACAAGGTGGGAGTGGCATCGTGGAAGCCGAGTTGCGGGAATCGAGGCTGCGATGGTTTGGGCATGTGAGAGGAGAGACATAAATGCCGCGGTCAGAAGGTGTGAGAGGTTTACCATGGCGGGTTTGAGCAAGGGCAGGGGTAGGCCAAAGAAGTATTGGGGAGAAGTGATTAGGCAGGACATGTCGATGCTTCACCTAACCGAGGACATGACTAGCGATAGGAAGGTGTGAAGGTCGAGGGTTAAGGTGGTGGGTTGACAGGTAGTTGTAAGTTTCTCTTAGGTTTACCAATAGTACTAGTAATATTCTTGTTGTTGGTTGAAAGTTACTTCCTTTCGGTTTGTTTTTATATCTAGTACTTAACAACCACACCCATTGTTTTTGAAAATTGCTACTGAAAATTGTTGCTCCCTGATTGTTACTATTTGATGCTACTATTTCTCCCTTTTACTGGAAATTGTTGCTCTGATTGTTACTATATGATGCTACTTTTTCTCCTCTTTTTCCTTATCATCTTTTGTCTCCCTCGTCTTTCTTTCTCCCCCCTCTTTCTTCTTCTTCCTTAATACCTTATCTTGAGTCGTGTGGGATTATACTGGGTATGTTGTTGTTGTTGTAGACTTTGCGTTGTGCCCTTCAATTGAGGCCACAAATCTGCTGGACTATTCTTGCCAAAAGGAAAAAGAAAAATCTCTGTGTATTCACCATTTCTTTGTCTAAATGGGAAAAATGCCCCTGCTTTAGTTTTTGAGGTTTACATATTAAGTGTTCCCTGTCAAATGCCCTACTGGATGACATAATTAGTTTTAGTTCATTTGATTTGGTGTAAGATTGTGGAGATTATATAGTAAAGGTGGACGAACTGGACCTATAAAAAAGGTGGATGAGCTGTATAAGATGTTGTCTTCCTTGTATTCATTTCACCATCAAGCTCTGATTGTTCTATTTAGTTATTGTTAGGATTGTGTTTCTCTTTGTGATAACTCGTTCCCAAGGTCTTTTGTTTGTGTTGGTACATTTTATGTGCTCTACCCTATACCTTTACTAGTTGTGTGGTACTAGTTTTGGAAGGGCACTAAGAGAGACATAGATTTTTTGAAAGTGATAGCCTAGAGGTAGAAGAGATGGAGTGACAACTTTGTAATAAAGATCTGAATCTCGGCAGAAGCGTGTCATGTGAATTCGTCTCATCCCTAAAACTTGATGGCTACATGGTACCTAACTGGTGGGAGGAAACAGATATATGTAGATTAGTCGAGCTGCACACAACATGCAGCCAACTCGAACACCACGTTTTTTTGCTCTTCACATGTCACAATTTTTCTGGTTGCTTTTCTCTATTTGTAGCCTTAATAAAGAATAACAAAAATCTTTTTCAAAAACATAAATAAAGAATAACAAAAAAAATAATTAAAAGAGAATAACAAAGGATAAAAAAGTGATATATGTCATCTCAGTATCCTCCAGGTGTTATTTCTATCTATCTATCTATCTAGACTCCAGGTTATAAACACAAGAACAAGTAGGTGTTCTGTCTTGAAGTAATCTCCTCACTGTGGGCAATCTCTTCTAGAGTTTAGGCACTTAATTCGTACTATATATAGACTGCTACTCAATGAGCCGATTAGGTTATCCTTTTGATACTTCGAGGGATATCACGAACACTCCCACGCTACCCTTTAACATTGCAGATATTATCAGTTGCCAACATACTCTCTGCAAATTATTGCTAGTCCATTTCATCAGTAGCTAATAATACTGATTCATATGTTTTTATTATTCATATAGTGAAACTACTGCAGTTTGCAGATACGAGTAAGCATCAGGATTCTTCTGTAGTTTTTTTCTTAGTTTAATTGAAAAGTCTGTCGGGCTATATCATGAAAGATGGAGACACTACAGGTAGATGGAAAAAAGCAGTCTGCTAGATATGTTAGCAGAGCTGTCTTTTCATTTGTTATCGACTAAGGCCATGAGTGCAATTAGATTTTGACAACCTCGTTTATTGATTTATTTTCTGGGATGAGTCCCCTACCCTCCTCCACTCTTTGCATTTTTATGTATATTCATTATGAGTACATTTTTTTAATATGCATGAAAAATATGTCCATTTGCGGATGCATGATTTGTCTATTTTTAGTTAGCTACCATAGTACATGTCTTTACATATTTTTTTTGTTCAAACTTCAAGCTGTTGTAACCCTTAGCCTCACATCCTCCCTCTTCTCCCAGACATAACTATAGCTCTCTCTCAATCGTTAACCTTAACAGAGAATAAACAAATCATGCTGGCATGTCGGTAACAAACACATTGCTGTTACTTGAGAAATTCGTACGGCAGTTTGATTCATGACCCATACCGATCTCTCCATTCAACTTTAAATTTTAGTTTTTTTTAACCAGCTACTGAGATCCAAATAACATCGATTGTTCCTTTTGGAGGTGGTTACGAGCAATCATAATCGTAGTTGTTGAGCTATCATTTATCAGTGAAACCGGATAGTTCACATTATAGAAACATTTGATTTTTGCGTTATGGTTAGAGTTAATTATCTTTCTGTGGATGGTATCGACATGACCTCTCTGGAGTCTGGCTCCCTTTTTTAAGGCTATTATTAATGCTTCGATAATTTACTTGTCTTTGCAGTATGGGGTGCTTGCAACCATGCATTTCATCTTCATTGTATCTTGAAGTGGGTAAATTCTCAATCGGCTCAAGCACATTGCCCTATGTGTCGTCGTGAATGGCAGTTTAAAGAATGAAAAAAAATTATATGCATCTTTTGCTCATGAATGAAGGAACGAATCATAACTCTGCTTCATTCTTCTTGGGACGGGGTAAAAGCGCCTGTTTTTTAATTGTACTTTGAGTTGTGGTGTCTGTATGTGTGTAATACTAGGATATTCTAGCAAGCATAGCTGATAGCTGTGTTGATATGTGCTCATCCCCATATACAATTATTAGTTTTAAGGCCAAAAATAGGTAGCGTGTCTGTATCAGCATTGGAAGGTGGTGCAGATGTTGTATGAGCCGTGCATCCTGAGTCTTCAATACATCAATGCCCAACCATTGATTGAGAAGAAAAGGACATACTGGACGCTGGGCTGCCTGTCATTGTTAGTCAGGCTGCCTTTACAACAGTATTAATAGACTCTTAACATATTAGTGCCTTTTGACAGTCCTTTGTCCATGAGCTATCAGGCACATATAGGCATGGACCGTGACATAGTTGGCGTAAGGACAATATTTCGTTATCATCTCGGTTGTATTATGTTTGTGAATTGAAAATATCTTGAGGTGTTTGGGAATATGATTTCCGGATTCTGGTATTTCCTCTTTCCATGTTATTCCCATTTTAAATCTTGAGGTGTGGTTTTGAAAATTTTCCTTGTGATCATGGATATTTCATTTGATTTGCATGTAGAATGCCTTCTTCCGAGAATACCTGATGACGCTTTTTAACCTGTGATTGAGATGTTTTAGTGGGGGTGATAGCTTTAATTCTGTTCTGACTACGGGATTTAGTTTTTGTTCAAATCGATTGTCCCAAATCATTTTTTATTTGAAATAGAATACTGTCCATTATAATAGAGGAAATTACTTGTTTAAGAGTCTTATTTGCTTCTATATTTATTCTGGCCAGTCACCAATTACCGATTGGTCACCACTTCTCGAAATTGCGTTTGTATGCTAAAAGATGAAGAAAGTACACCTTAATTAGACACATTTGCCGACTTTGGCGCGTAATTTGGCAGAACGTAGAGAATTTAGTCATAGTCAGGGCTTTATTAGTATCCTAAAGAAAAACAACACTATTGTGTCATTGCTGCTTTGGCCTTTAATGATGATTGTGATTTGTGAGTGCTCTTTTGATTTGTGAGTGCTCTTTGTCCCCATTTTTCTTTTCTTTTGTAAAAAGAGAATATTATTGACCCCATTACAATATCAAGTTGATAATTATCAGAAGGTTTGTGGATTAAATCGGACACGTCTATTGAAATACACTACCTACCAAAATTACCGTAGTTACACTAGCACAGAGAGAAGTTATAGACTGATGCCAGCTGTGACACAAACAATATAAGCCACATGTTTATCATAGTATAATGTAGTAGTAGCAATTATTTGTATATCCAATTAAAATACAGAATGGAAGTTACATTACAATCCCAAATGTATTGAAGACATTGAAACAGGATAAATATCTTCATCAACAAACTTTCCAAATCTCTCTATTGCAATAGACAAGAGAAGAATAACCAAATAAAAACAAAACAGAGAGGGAGTAAACTTAGAAGAAACAACATCCAAGAATAAATAAAGCAGCAGCTAGATACTCCATTAGCGGATGTGAAGTTACTTAGTAATGGCCTTCAAATATCCTGTCAAACAAAGTAAAAAGAAAAGGAATCAGATACTATATATTCTTCCTAAATACTAGTAGTATATTGTATGAACTTTATAATATCTTCTCATCTTCAAGCTGTTAAATCTTAGTTGAATAAAGCTTGTACCCTTTTTCACTAGAAAGAGATGAAATTTGAGAAAAATTACCATAGGGAAGGAAGATGATTGATCACTTTGTGAGGACATAAATAGCATAGACAATACCAGGTAGCCATCCAAAGAGAGTGAGCAAAACACAAATCCAGAATTCCGCCTGTTTTCAGAAATATATTAATAACGCTAACAAGGAACTACAAAATTTTCTGATCATACGATATCTGCACCTTCTTTATACAGTTTTCCAAATTTTTATGAACAAAACTAGTACTCTACTAAATGTTTTACTTATATTTGCCTCCTAAACTCACAAAGTTAAAATCTTTACCTCACCTACCCGGCTACCCCTTAGCCCCCGCCATCCTTTAATCTAAAAAGGACAAAATAAAAAAGGAGAAAAAGGTAGTCCCTTGTTTTCTTTCTATGTCTGCCTCTACAAGGGCTGGTAGAGAAGGGGAATGATGCCATGTTTTTACAGGCAATACTCAGAAATTTGTGTCTACAGTAGTAGTAAGTTAACCAGAAGAAAGAGTTTTATTCAGTAGGCTTTTGGATTTGTATTAAATTAGACTAGTGAATTTGAATGCTGAATTTCAAAAGCAAAAAAAGAAAAAAACTACTAGTAGGAGAAAGAAGGGAGCGAGTACCTCGCAGCCAAACTTGAGGAAAACACCAAGAGGAGGCAAGATGATTGCCAACAGAATGTCTATGAATGTCAGTGTGCTGCCTCTCATTTTTCTCTTCTTTCGAATTCGAATTATACTAGGTCGTTGTTGTATATAGGAACGTTACATTTACTTTAAAAACAGGAGGAAGTGGTTATCCTATATATAGAGTGAGAAGAGTAGTAGTGTGCTTCTCTATTTGTCTTTGAGGGCTAGTTTAGTACTTTCACGCGGAGGATGCGAGCTTCCTTTACGCGTTTGCTTCATCAATTGCTTTCCCCGCTTTGCCTTTCTAACTTTGATAAAAACTTTTCTGCTCGTACGAATAGAATTTGCACAGATGTTTCTCATTTCGTGTAGCCACGTGGAAGGGAGCTGTAAACATGGGGCCCTTCCGTGGAGTGTTTTCCACCCTCTCCACATGCATTCACCGGCGGATTTATAATTGGCTACGTGAACTTATAATCTTTCAATCAAATTAGGTATCTCATGTACTTTAGAATTGATTTAATATTGTGTGCTGACATACATACTCTAAAGAGACTAAATAATATATTTGATTTAATACTGAGTTATTTATCTAAAGAAGTAAAATTAATTCCCACTTAATTCTTTATCCATGTTATAAAAATTCTAAATACATGCATTTCATGTCGACCACTAGGATTATCTGTTTCATCCCTCTTGAGAGAAGGGGTAAAAGCGCTTTTTTTCTTTTGTATTTTGATATTACGGTGTCTGTGTGTGATAGTACTGTTAGTTTAAAATTTAACGGTAGGTAGCGTGTTTGTGTCGGCCTTGGAAGCAGGTGCAGATATTTTATGAGCCACATGAAATTTAAAAGGTTAAATACATATAATTTGAAAGGCTAAATACATATAGAGCCCCTAAAGTTTGCGTCAAATTTTATTTTAACACTCCAACGGACACTTGTTTCAATTAAACACTTTAACATCACTCAATTTGTACCTATCAAACTCTCATGACTAACCAATACAAAAAATATAATGGGTGGAGTTCACGAGACTGACATGGCAAAACTAACAAATGAAAAAGCGCCATGTGGCTTTTGAATAAAAAAATCTTTTGAGCAAAATAAGTAAATAAAACATCAGAAGAAAAAAAGCAAAATGAATAAAGGTTGCTCGATGGCGAGGTGTGTAAGGTGAGACGAATGATGGTGATGGCGAGGTAGTGATGGAGGGAGCTGAGGTCGGCGGCAAAAATGGTGTTTTCCGCTCATCTTCTCCGGTTAACTCCGGTAGTAACTATTTTTTTTTTCCTACAGAAAGCATGTAGGAAATCGATGGGCATTTTAGACCTCAATTATAGAAGCAAACCATCACAATCTTTTTCATCTTTTGCCATTAAATGTTTTGGTATTTTTTACAGATTTCATTATTACTTCTTTAAAGTTTTTCAAGAATGTTGCATCTTCCATAGTGCTTCCCTGCCTGCATAAATTATAAATGTCGCACCTAATAATACACCAGCAAAGGCAACATTGAGAAGAAATATCCGTAGGTGAAGATTGAAGAGGAAAACGATTTCCGATATAGTTGTTAATGGATGCGGTGACTGTAAAAATAGTAAATGGGGAAAACTAATGTGCGACCGCTGCATTTTTGACAGTAAGGTGGAGGGGAGGGGGGAGGGGATGAGAAACAAAAACTGAAAAACAAAATTTTTGGAGTCTCACGCTCCTAGAAGAAGTGTTGGTACACACATTGTGCCACATAAGTTGTATGTGTCTAATAGGTACAGTTTAAATGTACTACTAAGTGTTTGATGGAAAACAGTGTTAGTTGAGGTGTTTAAGTGGAAATCAGAGTAAGTTTAAGGTACTGGGATTTGGCCAATTTGAAAACAAGTACTAATTGACTCTCAACACATTATTGTGCCTTGTGACTGTCGTTTGGCCATGCCCATGATTAGGCAAATACAGCATGGACCATGTCATGGCTGGCATAAGGACAATATTTTGTTTGTTATATGATCTCAATTGTATTATCTTGTGAATTGAAAATACCTTGACGTGTTTGGGGATATGATTTCTGAATTTTGGTGTTTCCTCTTTCCATGTTATTCCTTTGTTAAATCTGTCCGAAACATTCCATTCATCTTCCCTGTGGTTTGAATCTCCCATGGGATTACTGTTATTTCATGGATTTATATGTACCTTCTCATGACACTTTTTACTGTTATTTCAGTGATTTGCATGTACTCCCTCTATTTCAATATATTGTCCCATTATCCGATCTATTTAAAAAGATTGACACTATTTTTTTTATTAGTCTGTTTTAAAAAAATTAACATTTTTTAATATTTTCTTAATAAAAAATATTTATAGTCACACAAGTGATATGATAGATTTCCGATCACAAGTTTCAAAAGTTTTACAACTACACAAATATTATAGCTTATTTAAGACCACGCATCTCAAAAGTCTTCTCTTTTTTATTAAGATTTGTGTATCAAACTAAGACAATTTTTTTAAACATAGGAAATACTAGTTTGCTTTTTTTTTTCTTTTACTTTTGGGGAGATCCGATGTTAAGAATATGAAAGGAGGAAAAATATAGGAGAATCCAAAGCATAGTTATTGTGAGCATCTAATTTTGTTACTATATTTGAATTTTTATCACCTTTTACTAGGTAAATATTTTTAAAAATTTAATATATATTTTTTTAGCTTTGTTACACTTTTAAAAAAATATATATATAGGGTAAAAATTAAAAATAATTTAAAAGGTCAATTATTACTATTAATACTATTTTTATTTTTATCTTTATTTTAAAATAAAATAAATTAAAAACCCAAAAAAATTAAATATTTTTTAAATTTCGGATGGGAATAAAAAATAGGAAAAAGTAGAAGTGTGGAATTAAAAAGTAAAAGTAAAAGTAGGTAAAAATTATTTTTTTAAAAAAGTAAAAGAAAGTGAAAAATTAAAAAAAATAAAAGTAAAAGAATGTGAAAATTTAAAAAATAAAAAGTAAAAGAAAGTTGGAATTAAAAAATAAAAGTAAAGGTAGGTGAAAATTTAAAAAAAATAAAAGAAAGTGAAAATTAAAAAAAGAAAATAAAATAAGTGAAAATTAAAAGTAAAATAAGTGGAAAATAAAAAAATAAAAGTAAAAAAAAGTGAGAAATTAAAAAAATAAAAGTAAG